CACCTAATGTGACAGGAAGTTTCTTGTTAGTTTAATTTTTTTTATTCCCTTTTGGTTCTATTTTTTTTTGTCAATCTTTATTTTTCTGTGCATGTGAAAAAGTGATTTGGTGCCCCAAAAGCAGTAGCAAGAGCAATAAAATACATTGCATAACAGTGTGAGGTATTCAAGGTCACGGCATATTTTTTTTTTAAGTATTCAACAGCAGAAAATAGGCTAGGTTATGCATGCCTAACTGAAGTGATATTGATGATAACTGATTGATCACTCCTGAGCAAACCTGATATTATTAATTGTTGATTGGTGTGCAAATATTAATTGATAATTAATTGATATTAATTGTTAGTTAGTAACACTAATTGATATTGAACAAACCTAATATTAATTAAGTAAATTGGTGTTAGTCTTACAACATGTCCAGGCATGTCACAAAACACAGGCCTGGATGTGTCACAGAGGAATTCAGGCAAAAGCTATAAGATGACACAGCATGAGTAGACAGGATCATACTAGGTGCAGGACCCGGAATATGACCAAAGAGATAAGGTATAGTACGAAACTAACGACCAATTCCATTAAGGATGCACAGACTCACAGGCCAGGTGAATTCTTACCTGACCACCTTGACCCATGTTTAATTGCAAAGGTGAGCATATATCTCTGCCTACCGGACTCCCACCTCAGGTAAGCTCTTACAGAAGGAGCTACATGAAAAAATAAACAGTTGGGGCGCACTCAGACTACAAAGAATACAACACAAAGAAGGTTTCTAAATTGCCTACCTAAGAATAAATATGGGGATTTAGTTCCACCATATGGCCATATGATGTTAAGCCCACCACTGCTTTCAAAGTACCCCAATATTGGTGGGTCCTACGCTAAAATGTGGGGGACAAATTAAATAGTACTCGTGTTAAAAATAAAGTGTATTAAATTCTTGTAAGAGCAAAGTGAGTATATATAAAAAAAAGTTGCTCTTACAAGAATTTAATACACTTTACCATCATGGAGTCCGCAGAGGTATGCACACTACTTTCCCAGCAAGTGTCCAGCCTGTCCCAGACTGTTTCGGAGCTGCAATGAGAAGTTCAATTTCTTAAAGGCACAGTATGCTCAGCCCTGGAACCTGCTTATTCTGAGCCGTTTGTTGTTATGCCAGAGAGATTTGACGGTAGCCATGCATCCTTCCAGTGCTTTAAGGTGGACTGTGAAATTGTATTTGCCTTAAAGCCTCAGACATATGCCAGTGACTTTATCATGGTCCATGCAGCTATCAACCTGCTGTCTGGAAAGATCAAAACATGGGCACACCAAATGCTGCAGTCTAAGAGTTCTGTCCTTGACAGTTGGGCATCCTTTATGACAGCAATGGACTCTCAGGAAAGCAACTCCCAAGTCTGCTCCAGGTTCCTGCAGATCTCGGGTACCTAGAGAAAAAGACTTCATTTACGCATTCAAATACACAATCCTGTTGCAGCATGAAACTACATCCAGGGATCTGCCTTGTTACTCTGACTATTCTCCAGTAAGCCATTAAGCTCCAGTGGACAGGGAGAAGCCCATGGAGATTGGATTCATCCGTCCTAGGTTGCCTCCAAAGGAAAAAGAAAGTAGGAGAGCCCATGGCCTGTGTTTATACTGTGGGGAAAGAGGGCATTTCATCTCTCTGTGCCCAACTCGTCCACCTATGCCAAGAACTTTTATATTGGGCACCCTATGGACTTATCCTGTCATCCCGGGAACACAGCCTGGAAACTACCTGTATAACCTGTCCACATTCCAGGACACAAAAGGGTACCCAAACTACAACATTCAATGTTACCAGTGTCCCTCAAGAACCCGCAACCAGTACCCCTGAGGAATCTCCACCTCTTTAAGACGTTCCTCTTAAAGCAAGCACCATCACCACTCCCTGCCTTGCTAAGAACGTTCTGTCACCTGACTGCATGTATACCTCTAATGGCACAGTTGTACGTAACCAGAATCTCGAAGTATTCGAAAAAGCATTGAAAGCCTCCCCTGCGAGAACTACTAAAGCAAAGGCTGTGCAGAGTTTCCCGTTAATCTGGAAGCATGCCATACATATCCTGCCAGAGAATGTATTCAATCTCTCAGAGGAAGAGGGTAATTCTGATCTGGAAGGCAATGGTGAGCAACCAGTTCACACCAGAGGGCATTCTTAAAGAGGGGGTCCTGTCATGGTTCTCACCGTGACATCCAGATGGCCAGACGAGGTCACCCCAGAAGTGCCCAACAAGGGATTTGAACCTGGGTGCTTTATGGTTCTACGCCTGTGTTCCTGCTTCTGAGACACTTACGTTCTTGGTTTAGCCTGAAACGTAGCCCTGCCATGTCTCCAGCACTGGGGCTGGACTTCACCTGTGACTGCCCCTGTCAATCCTGGTCCACCTGTATAGTATGCCTAATCAGCCAGAAATAAACACCACCTCTCTCTGAGGGCAGGGTCAGTTCATTGTCTCTGGTTCCTGTGTTTGTATTTGTGATCCAGTGTTCTCCAGTTGGCTCCTGACCTTGGCTTTCTTATTGTGTATCCTGATTTCTGGCATCCTCTGACTTTATCTTACCCTCATTTACCCTGACTTCTGGCACCCTCTGACGTTTGGCTTTTCCTCGATGATTCTCCTGCTTGTGTCTTTACCTGTACTGCGACTTGGAGCAATATCCTGCACAGCCCCCGTGCACAGACTCACAGGTCAGGTGAATTCTTACCTGACCACCTTGGCCTGTGTTTAATTGCAAGGGTGAGCTCTCTGCCTACCAGACTATCACCTCAGGTAAGCAGTTACAACACTATAGTCACCGGAACAATTCAGATTAATGACATTGTTCAGGTGTGAACTATAGCTCCCTGCAGCCTTTCTCATGTAAACACTGTATTTTCTGAGAAAATAGTGTTTACATTGGAAGCTAGGAACACTTCCAGTTCAGAAAGCCACCAGAGGGACTTCTGAGTTGATAAATGCTTAATTCGCATTCATCACGTTTGACGCCTTCACGCTTGGGGGAAGACATCAAACATGCTATCAGGAGATAGGAGGCACTGTGAACGCAGCTCTATGTCCTGTAGTAACCCCGGAGCAGGTCAGCAATGAGAGCAGACAATGTGGGAGATAAGATCTCCTGCACACAGCGTCAGCTCGAGCTAAGAGGCTGAAGACCGGAGCAGGAGGGGAGTATCCAAACCATGAGTAAACTTATTTTGTGAGTGACTGAGTGTGGGTGAGTGTGAGAGAGAGTATGTATGCTTAATATTTATTTACAGTGTGTGTTTGTATACAAACACTATATATAGAGATCTCCCACATTGTCGTTAAGATCAGTAAGTTTGCATACTTACTTTGGGCTGGAGAGTTGCCATAGGAGGAATTCAATGCCGCTCTATGAAGAACCTGATTGGCGCAGCTCAAAGAGAAGCGTCCTACTGGGCCCTGCGATTTCATCATTTTGACGAAAAAGGGGTTGTGGCCTGACGAGGAGCTCGGTGCTGGAACGGAGGTAAGTTTAAATAATAAAAAGGGCTCAAATTTATTTTTTATTAAGGGAAAGTTCATATAAAAGCAAGAAAGAAGGCTAGGGGACCTGTCGTTCTTGCTTTTATATGTTGACTATAGTGATCCTTTAAGAAAGATGATATTTTACACAAAATAATTCCTGAGCATCCAGTGGTAATTTACCGTAAAACTAACAATTTAAAAAATAAACTATCTCCTAGTCTCTTACCCAGAAATATAAAACAAAGGGATTTTCTGGAAGATAAACGTAACGGGCTTTACAAATGTGGGAATTGTTCCACTTATAAGTATCAAGAAAGATTACTAATTTTATGGGCACTTATGATAAAAAAGAATATTAAAAAAATATATACATATTTTTTTTAAATTGCTTTACCTCGTATGCTATTTTATTACAATGTTATAAAAAATAAACACTAAAACGTGGTTAGAAACTGAAAATAGATCTAACAGGTTTTAATTTAGAACTTATTTCCAATAAGGGTTTTTTTTTTCTATGGTAAACTCATTTCTCTTCTATTTTTATAGATTCACTAGATTATCCATTCCTTTTTCCAAATTGTCTTAATTTCTAAAGGTTATTTTTTTATTTTATATGTATTTTGTGATTTCTAACTTGTTTCATAGTTACAGATACTATACAAGGGAACCATTCGGATACTACATTTTGATTCAATTTTTTTTTTCTTCATGCGTCTTTTATGCTAATGTGAACAGCTACTTGTAAGTGTGTAATGTTTGCATACATATAAAAGTAAAAATGTTTACATTACTGGGAGTGGAAAGGCTACACTCCACCTATGCACCAGCACTTTTCTATTTTTTTATTTTTTTTAATTCTTTATTTTTGTAGTGCTTAAGTTTTTAACAGATGGTTGTGAGGTACCCCAAAGGCATTCCTCCAACACATTAGAAACATTTGAACATAGAGGTACATGAGAAAATCTAGCACAATTTTTATGTTTAAAGAGAGTTTGAGTGGTAAACGATAGAGAGTCTAACTGCTAATTCTGTCTCATAGCTGATAACATTGCTGGTATGTCTAGTTAGCTGATTTTAAGCATTTTAGAGTAACCTACGAGCTGAGTAATACAGGCTTAGTCTAGCTTTTATACAGGAGTTGTGATTGTGGGCATAGGTCGGCAACCAAACATTTTGAAACAAAAGGAAATAAACGATAATGGTACAAATAAAAATGATGAGGCAATACTAATGTGCACAGGTGCCTAACCCGCTATGCTGTGAGACTAGCGAGTCATGTAATGGGCTTGCATACAGAAAGCAAAATTAGTACACTGGCCCTGTTTATATGCAGTTCTGTTCCCGTCCTTTTCTAGTTTTAACCGCAAGAATTGTAACAAATTAAGATAAAACTTAAAATGCGTGCTTGTAAAACTTTTGAGTCTGGTAAGGGTGCCCTTGGGACTACTTGCCAGGGGTGGGAGAGTCCTCTGCTTATCTGTAGGGTCAGCCAATTCCCCGTTGGAGCCAGACTAAATTCTGCCATAAGAGTCCCGGTGTCAGGCCCAGCGTCCTGCAGGAGTGGGGACAGGTAAGGTTGGAGTAGTGTTCCGGCAGGGTGTCCGAGATCTGTCCGAGCTGTGCTAGCTGCAGCGGAGGCATGCTTGGTTTGTGGTACATATAATTCGCACTGCTCCTTACAGGGTTGTGGGTCTGGTCTCCTGGTGTTGGGTCGCCGCTATCCAGTTGGCATGAGGATGGGCTGATGTGCGTCCGTGCGATTGTTCTTTTGTTCTGCAGGGCCGTCGGTGTGCTCGTGTTGCCGCCCGGCTGATCTATGATCTCCCGCTGCTTGTGGTTGTCTCGTTGCCTCCAACCCCCTGGGTGTTTTGATGCCGGGGGAGTCTGTGCTTCCTCCCGCTTGACCTGGTGTGGGTGAGCATGTAGCCCGGTTTCTGGCACAGCCTCTGGGTCCGTCGGGAACAGGAGGGCCTCCAGCTTTTCCCAAAAGATTTGGAAGGCTCTGTCCAGCCGATTCTCGACCTCTGGCAGCACAGCATGAGTGCCGGGAAAACACGTCGCCTCCACCATTTTGGGTGCTGTGTCGTCGCTTGAGGGAGGCCTCTGTGTCACCACGGCAGTCCTACCAGGCTGTATCAGGGTCTCCCGAGGGTGGACCGGGATAACCCCCACCGGTCCAGAGGGGGGGGGACAGGGGTCTGGTCTCCGCTTGTCGACCGCAAGTGCCAGCGGGGGAGCGGCCGTCTCCCTCACGCCGACCACATGTATAGGCCTCACGGGGTGAACAGGTGCAGTAAGCCGGAATCGTAGCTTGTGTGGCATCATTGTGTGCCCCTGGGTTTCTCCTGTCATATGAAGGCCCTTTTGGACCGATCAGATCCCGTTTTGACTAGTGAAATCCAATTATTTAGCACCGTTGAGCAGGAGCTTTGCAAGTATGCTTCCTCTGTTCCCAGCAGTCAGGCCCCGCCCCCCACTTTTCTATTTTTAACTGGATGAGACTTAAACCCATATTTGTGTGTAAGTGTGTGTGTCAGGTTCCTATGATGACAAGCAAGACTTTTCCGTTTATTACCATCCCTTTAAATACAGTTTCTGGTTTTCACCTCTAGTGGCCTCCCTAGCCACTAGTCACCTTATACTCACCTGTATCATATGTAATGAAGATCTGCTATTAATGGCCACATCCAACAAAGCAACTGGCCTGTACATTGAAGTTCTTCATACCAAAGACTTCAGATCCTGGCTCCTGTGAGAGATCCTGGCTCCAATTTACCTGAATTGCTACCTCCCTTGCTCCTTACCAACTTGGATTATCTACAACTATACTTCTCTGCAATATCCTACCTACCTGATTTAAACAACCCTGCTTCATACCAATCTGGATAACATACATCTCTGCTTTAACCTGCCTACCTGGATTTATATAACCCTCCAAAATCATTATCTGGACATTGCTGAACACAACTACTAACAAGGTTTTATTTTCCTTCTCTGACTCCTTATAGTTCCTATTACCTGTCTTATTCTTCTTCCTATACTTTTATCCAGCTTTATTTGCACACTTGTTTGTTTTCTATTTAGGGAATATTGCCTTAACGTTTATTTCTCCCTTTCCTTCTCATTATTTATTCTACACATTCTTCTGCTGTAATGTCAAAAGCTATAAATCAAGCCACTTCAGTTAACTCTGGCAAACGTTTCCTACCTGACCTGATCGTGTGTGTGTACACACAAACACTTTTTTTTGTTTGTTTTTTGTTTTTTAAAAATTTACATTTTGATATGTGTAAATATAGTGGCTTAGTTGCCATATTTGTAGTTCCCTATTGTGTGTAATACTCTGGCTATAGCTATTTGTACTATTACGTAGTTACATAGCTGAACAGAGACACGGTCCATCAAGTTCAGCCTGTGTCACATCTGTTTTTAATGTTGATCAAAAAGAAGGCAAAACACCCAGTTTAAAGTGCTTCCAAATCTCCAACACACTAGGAAAAATTCACTCTTGACGCCAGAATGGCAGTCGACGCGATTGTCCCCACAAAATAAAAAAATTTATACAGCTTAACATGTTTTTGCAAGTATTCAATCAATTGCTATTTAAACATTTTTACAGATTCGGATAAAACCATCTCTTCAAGCAGAGGATTCCACATTGTTCTTATTGTGTGTTTAAAAAAAAAACCTTTCCTTTGTCTAGACTAAATCTCCTTTCTTCCATTCTTCATACATGACCTTGTGTCCCTAGTATAGCACTGTTAAAGAATAGTTTGTTAAATGGCTGTTAGGGCTGCTCATCCAATGAAGGATCTTCTACCTGGCCCAAATTTGACATTAGACAGCTCTTACAGAATGGGGGCAAAACAGAATCAGGTAAGTGTTTAACCATTTGTAAATGGTTTAACTACACATAGTAGGACAAAGCCATAGAAGGGCGGAAAAAAAACAAAAAAACACTTGTTTTTTTTAGAAGATCAACACATACATAAATTCACTCAATGTTTCACACGGAAAAGATTCATAACCCATAATCTCATGGCTAGTAAGGGTTACTGGTTGGTAAACAGCACTGACTGGTTTAGACTTGGTGCTACCTGGTCTGGGATCCAGCTGCCATAGGGTGTAAGGTGGCACACATACCTGGGTCCTGGTTAGGAGTAAGTGCTGGCTGGCATAAAGTGCGAGAGAGAAAAGTAAACCAGATCTAGGCCGTAATTGTTTGTTGGCATGAATAGGGGTATTGAATAGCAATGGGAGGTGGGGGTTGGCTGGCTAAGAGTGTTATGTGCTGACTGTAAGTGGGTAGATGGTGGCAAAGAAGCAGAGTGTCAATGAGTGCTGGCAGGCTAAAGTTGCTGGTTGTTGGAAGGAAATGGGTGCTAGGTAGGTGCAGGATGGGTAAGGGTGCTTTTAAGTTGCTGGAAATGACTGCTGATAAGCAATAGAAAAATGGTGCAAACTCGTTATGTTTCATGGTTTAACCACCTAAGACCGCAGCCAAATGTACAAGTTGTGATCCCAAAAAAATGTAAACAAACCACAGAATTTTACTATATGTCTGTCCAACAATAATTTACCTCTTTCATACTAAGTGCACCCACACTTATTACATATCATTTTGTTCAGGGGAAACAGAGCTTTCATTTCATATCAAACATTCATATATGGAGCTCCATTTTATATGAATAAAATCTAAAAACCTTAAAAAAATTAAGATTTTTTTTTTTTAATTTCAGCATGGCAATTTAACTGTTAATGTCAGAATACTGTTCAGTTTTCCTGCAATAAAACATACATATTTGTATTCAGAAATGTCTTACGAGTAAAACAGTACCTCCATGCATAGGCGTGCGCAGCCTATTGCATTAGGGTGTGCACCCTAAAGCACAAGCACACGCCGCATATATATATGTATGTATGTATATACATACACATATATACACACATACACACACTGCTGTGTGTGTGTGTGTGTGCTGTGTGAGGGTGCTGTTAGTGTGATGTGTGTGTGACGATGCTGGTAGTGTGCTATGTGGGTGAGGGTGTTTGTGTGTGTGTGCTTGTGAGGATGCTGTTAATGTACTGTGTGTGAGGGTGCTGTTTGTGTGTGCGCTTGTGAGGGTGCTGTTAATGTACTGTGTGTGAGGGTGCTGTTTGTGTGTGAGGGTACTGGTAGTGTGCTGTGTGTGTGTTTGTTAGGGTCCTGTTTGTGTTTGTGAGGGTACTGTTAGTGTGCTGTGTGTGTGTGAGGGTGCTGTTTGTGTGCTGTGTGTGCTGTGTGTGAGGGTGCTGTATGTGTGTGTGGGTGCTGTATGTGTGTGGGTGCTGTGTATGTCTGTGGGTGCTGTGTGTGTCTGTGGGTGCTGTATGTGTGTGGGTGCTGTGTATGTTTGTGGGTGTTGTGTATGTTTGTGGGTGCTGTATGTCTGTGGGTGCTGAATGTATGTGGGTGCTGAATGTGTGTGGGTGCTGTGTATGTCTGTGGGTGCTGTATGTCTGTGGGTGCTGAATGTGTGTGGGTGCTGAATGTGTGTGGGTGCTATGTATGTCTGTGGGTGCTGTATGTCTGTGGGTGCTGAATGTGTGTGGGTGCTGTGTATGTCTGTGTGTGTGTGTGTGTGGGTGCTGTGTGGGTGCTGTATGTCTGTGGGTGCTGAATGTATGTGGGTGCTGAATGTGTGAGGGTGCTGTTTGTGTGCTGTGTGTGAGGGTGCTGTGTGTGTTTGTGAGGGTGCTGTATGTGTGTGTGGGTGCTTTATGTGTGTTGGTGCTGTGTATGTCTGTGGGTGCTGTATGTGTGTGGGTGCTGTGTATGTCTGTGAGTGCTGTGTGTGTCTGTGGGTGCTGTATGTGTGTGGGTGCTGTGTATGTCTGTTGGTGCTGTGTATGTCTGTGGGTGCTGTGTATGTCTGCGGGTGCTGTGTATGTCTGCGGGTGCTGTGTATGTTTGTGGGTGCTGAATGTGTGTGGGTGCTGTGTATGTCTGTGGGTGCTGTATGTGTGTGGGTGCTGTGTATGTCTGTGGGTGCTGTGTATGTCTGTGGGTGCTGGATGTGTGTGGGTTCTGTGTATGTCTGTGGGTGCTGTAGGCCTGTGTGCTGTGTGTGTGTGTGCTGTATGTGTGTGGGTGCTGTATGTGTGGAGGTACTGTGTATGTCTGTGGGTTTTCTTATGTGTGTGGTGTGTGTATGTGTCTGTGGGGTGCTATGTGTGTGGGTGCTGTGTATCATAGCATTGGTGTGTGTGTCACATTGGGTGCTGTGTCTGTAGGCTGAATGTGTATGGGTGCTGTGTATGTCTGTGGAGTTGCTGTGTGTGTGCTGTATGTGTGTATGGGTGCTGTATGTCTGTGTGGGTATGTCTGTGTGTGCTGTGTATGTCTGTGGGTGCTGTATGTCTTGGTGCTGTATGTCTGTGGGTGCTGTATGTCTGTGGGTGCTGTGTATGTCTGTGGGTGCTGTGTGTGTGTGGGTGCTGTGTATGTGTGTGTGGTGTGCTGTATGTGTGTGGTGTTGTATGTCTGTGGGTGCTGTGTATGTGTGTGGGTGCTGTGTCTGTGGGTGCTGTATGTGTGTGGGTGCTGTGTGGGTGCTGTATGTCTGTGGGTGCTGTGTATGTCTGTGGGTGCTGTATGTCTGTGGGTGCTGTGTATGTCTGTGGGTGCTGTATATGTCTGTGGGTGCTGTATGTCTGTGGGTGCTGTATGTGTGTCTGTGGGTGCTGTGTATGTGTGTGGGTGCTGTGTATGTCTGTGGGTGCTGTATGTCTGTGGGTGCTGATGTCTGTGGGTGCTGAATGTGTGTGGGTGCTGAATGTGTGTGTGCTGTGTGTGTTGTATGTGTGTGGGTGGGTGATTGTGGGGGTGGAGGTGGGGGTACATTATTTGCTATCCCCCCTCCCTTCTTACCTTTTGTAGGGAGGGGGGATCGTGCTGCTGCTTCCTTCCCTGGTGGTCCAGTGGAGGAGGGGATCCTTGCTGCTGCTTTCCCTGGTGGTCCAGTGGAGAGTGAACTCTAGCCCCCTGTGGGGCTAGAGTTCACTCTCGCGAGATTTGAGCTCCGCCAGGT